GAAGAGTCCGAAGAGCGGCTTAAAAGATATGTGACCTCCGCTTCTGGTGTGCCCGGGACGAATCGCGGTTGATAAGTGAGTAAATAAGTAAGAAATCAACGCAGGAAGAAAGCCAGATCTAGAAGAAGAGTCGCTGTTGTTGAAACTCGGGAGGCATCCGCAGTTCAGTTCCTGACTAGCTTCATTGTTGCTTTATTGTGGATTAATAAGTTACGGAAATGTAGCGGTTCAATCTGAACGATTTGTCTGGCCAACTAATGAATGAAGCGAGGGTGGCAATCATGGTCCATGAGTCTCTATGGCAAAGCTGCAGCGAAGGCAGTACCTTGCATTACAAATCCTAATGTCGCGAATCCTTTTCAAGAACAGAGTAGCAACACATGCATGTATACATGTACATATGTAGGCAAATATCCTTATCTTTACAACGACAAATGGGATTACCCAACTCGCTAGAACAACTGTTATTTGCAGGTTGCCATTTTACGCGCACCAGGCGTTGTGGCATGGAAATGTGCGGTACCTTGCCACTCTTCAGGATGAGGAATTAATGTTAAGAGCTCTCACTCGGCGACAACCTGCAAAAAACATGGTCCTTCATTGGAACGAATTCTTAATTGAGAATATCACTTGTTACTACTAGACGTGATCGCATTCATAGAAGTTGGTGATCGTGACCATCAGAAGGAGAAATGACATTTTACCCACGTGCTGTACATGGTGTAGCACGCTTATTCGCCTCTGTGTCACCACGTCTGCGCATCGTGCCGCATAGTTTTTTTCTTTTTTTCGAACGTATCTTCAACATCTTCTTACGACTTGATCTTTTCACGACACAGTTTCGAATCCAAAGAACAATATATAAACACCAAAGAACAATAAATAAACATGGTCTCAAGCTATGAAGAAAACGCTAAGTCAACCGTTCGCTGTCCGAAACTTAAGTCGCAACCTTTCATTTGACCTGTGCCGCGGTAAAAAAAGACTTATGGGTGAATTAGACTTCATTTGGACCATTTCTTGTCCTTTTCTCTTTTTTATATTCTCCAATATGCATGTTCAATTCCTGGCGCACTTTTGATTACTCTACTACCTTCACCATGTGATAATAATCAGCTCCCACTGGTCAATAATAATATATGCTGATATTGAAAGTGAGATATAAGTACGTGCTTGTATAGTAGACGTCTTTAGAATGAATGAAATGGAGTTATCCATCGCGGAGCACGCGGCGGGAGAGTGTAAACAGGAGCTAGCCACACGCGCAGGCCAGCGAAAAAACTACGCAATGGGTTAAAATGCATTCACACGACATTAAGGAATTGCTCTGATCAAGCGACTATATCGACAACAGGACTCTGATATAAGGAATTCGCAGCCGAGTCGGCTAATAAGGAACTGAAGCTTCGCGTGAGACAGCTTCAAAGACATAACTGCATAGGCCAGTGTCATAATTTGCAAACCCAGCGATGTGCTGCCAGCGAATCGCTGGATTCGCAAAGTCTGACGCGGGTGCGGGACTTTCCGTGCGTCCGGGGTTGCACGCGGTGAACCACGCGGCGGGCTGCGCGCAGAGTCAACCCTGCGTTGCGCAGTTCGCAACGGCACGTCGAGAGATCCTCAACGCACGCTTATGGGCGGAGACACGGACGGCTCGAGCATGCGAGTGTGAATGTTCGCGCGAACGTGTCTAATCGGGCGAAACTGCGCAACGCAGGGTTGACTCTGGCTGCGCGGCGATCCGGACGAGGCAAGTCTTCGCGGGCTTTTGCGGTGGTCTTCGCGGGCTTTTGCGGTGGAATCCAACACGTCAGAACGAGTACAGATTGCGGATAGAATCCACAAGGTTCTGCGATTCGAATTACATTCCAACGCGTGGATATTCAAAGCCAGCGGCAGGAAGAGAAGAAAAGGAATACAAAAGGCTGTTTAGCAATCAGGGCGCTTAGGTTGCTGGCGCTTGCTGTTAAGTGAAGGGGGGGGGGAATCATCTAAGCGGAGAGATTCAACCAATTATTGTGTTTGGGACTAACCATAAGCCTGAGAGGGAGGATGTGAGCAATTTCTGTTCTCCCGAGCGTATTTCCCTTCTTATGAGCTTAATTCTAGTGTCACCTTCCATTGGCCCTGTTTCGAAAGTTCTCCCCAAGGACAGGAGCGCCGCGATTAGCAAAGATATAGGGTTGAAAATAATCAACTCAACTAAATGACTCCATTTTTAGCGCTCCTTATTCATATTTATAATATGATAATAGTGGCACTTCTATGAAATCTCCCTTTCACCTCCTTCCGCTGTAATCTCCTCACTGACGCGCTGCATTTCACCGATCTCCGCCAGCGGGAAAGTTCCTTCAAAGCAGAACCTTGGATTCTATCCGCGACCTCCACACGTTCTTACGTATTGAATTCCACTGCAGGAGCCAGCGAAGACTTGCATCCAGGGTCAACCGTCACGCTGGACCGATTCCAAAATTTTTACGACCCCCTTGGAGAGCCTCTATACGACCCCCCCCGCACTCACTATGTACTGTACACTGCTAAGGAAAAAGCTAACACTAGGGCAAATGCAATCCACAAAAAATCTAAAGACACTTGGCTTGAATTCAATTGAATTCAAACACAGTTAGCAGACGAGCTCTAGTTTCCAGATATCCGGTAATTTACTAATGCATAACATCGCAAAACGAACTGAATTCATTGGTTGCTAAACAGTACTGCCCTCTAGTTCGAGTGGCGCTTTGCCTGCCTTTCAAAGATGGGCGTTCAGAATCACAAAAAATTTCCATTTCGATATGCAAGCGCATATCAAACGAGTGCATGACGCATCTCAGAGCATGACAGTACACAGCAGAAGTGTCCGATTGGAGCACGGGAACGTTCCGTTCGCACTGGCGCGCGCAATCTTCCCCTCGGCGCAGCGCCGGCAGCGAGAAACAGACTATTGACTTTCAAATAAGCGTGATTTTGTTCAATATCAATAATTCTTAAAACGCTAAGTAGATTTGCTATCTGCAAAACTGCTTGTTTTGAGATAACCATGATTATTCCTTATCTACAAAACTACGTCAGTCATGGGGTAGAGAACAAAGAATTTACCGAAATGCGCACTTCGTCCTTTGAAAGGTTGTGACTTTCTTCAAAGAAGGAATTATGAGGAGCAGTAAGAAAGATTGGGAAGCTCGGACTGTTTTCTTTCTGAAAAGTGCTCAAGCTTCCGCAAAATGCATTCCTTCAAAAAATCGCCCCGTTGGACCGTTTTTTTTTGCAGACCAGGTTTTTTGGCTTTCAATAGCTACAACTTTCTTCAAATTCCACCTTCTGCGACTATTGTCTTCATGAGTTGAAGAAGAAGGTTTGAGCTTTCCAACAAATACTTTAACTTCTTTCAAAATTAAAGTCAGAAAATCGCCCCGTTTCACCGTTTTTGGGAAATCGCAGACCGATTTTTTGCAGAGCGCTAATTTTTTGGCTTTAAATTGTTATAACTTTCCTCATGTCGAACATGCAATTCTTGTCCCCCTGGATTGGAGTAGAAGGTCAGTGCTTTCTAATGAATACTTTTTCCTTTTCCATAGTTGAAAGAGTCAAAAATAGCCTCGTTGGACCGTCTTTTTTTTTGAATTTCGGCGCTACTCGCCTGAAAACACGGGTTTTCAACGCTCAAGCACTGACAACTCTCTTCAAACTCAATTTTATCGAGGATGGTACCGTAACATCGCACGAGTTCTGTGCTTCATTATAGATGCTAAACCCATTTTAAGAACTTGCCGATAGGCAAATATTTTTGTTCCCAAACTTTTCTTGTAGCCCTTTAGCTGTCAATCTACCAAAGAGGTCACTCTTTTATTTACTTAGGTCCAGTTTTGAGGCATTGGATCACCTCTAGAATTATATTTGTGTACGTTTGTGTGTGTACAAATATGGATACTTTCGCAGTAGACTCTTCTGCTCTGATGTGTGCCATGCACTCGTTTGTGCTTGATAGTTGAAGAAGCACTCATGAGTTTCACCTCTCCCCTACTGTCGCGAGAAATAACGTTTTGATTCTGATCGTTCAATGGTCTCATCAGGAGCCCACAGCTGCGAGCTTCATCACAACACACATTAGGTTCCTTATGGCGAAAACCACCTTTCGTCATCTACACCCAAAAACCTCTTCGTACTGCAACGTTGACTCCTGCGAATACGACCCCCCCCTCTAGCGTCGGCCAAATACGACCCCCCGTTGGACTTCCTTCAACGGACGGTTGACCCTGATCTAAGGGTCTGTTTTTAGCCTTATCGGAAGATGGTACTTGAAGCATAAGTAGTCTTTAAAAAAGGGTACAAATGCGCAAGCCATGTGATAAAGCTCACGTTTCCGTACTCTGTCATATTACTCTTATATATGTATATTATATATTATGTATCGCATCATTCTTTCGTCCTTTCATCCTTTTCGGCTCTTCGATGCTCAGCGTTCTCCTTAAGAGTTCCGTGTGATTGGTATTGTTGTATGATGTACAGGCAGCAAGCAGTTGAGTGAGGTTCCCCACAGGACCCCCCCCCCGTTGGACTTTGTTAAACGGACGGTTGACCCTGCTTGCATCGCCCGGATCGCCGCGCAACCCGCCGCGCGACTCGCCGCCTGCAACCCCGGACGCACCAAAAGTCAGTCGCCCGTCTGACACAGGCAATAAAGAATGGTAGCACAATTACCTACAATTACTGTGTAGGAAGATGAACAATACTTTACACGTTGACGACCGCCGTTGTGCACGTACTGCTTCAACAATTTCGCATTCTCTCATCAATAGGCATTAAACCTTCAGCGTTTCCATTACCAGTAATGAAAAATTGTTTCACGGATCCAATAATGTACATGGATCGTTGTGGAACAGGAGAAACGCCAAATAAATCAAGGAAAACTAGTCTGCTCTATGCGAAAATGTGGTATGACATCATACTACACGGTCGTCAACGTGTTAAAATATCAATTTAGAAATTAAGCCAAATGCTACCACCACAATATGCAGTACTAAATTCCAAATAATGCACAACTGACCACCGAATAGACGTTTTATTCCTTCTTCACGAAGAATTCGAAAGACTCCATCGATAGCATGTTTATAATTACGCCTTTCAGCGGGTGGAAGCTGAAATGCACTCATTTTTGAAATAAACAGTGGACCAATATGATAAGGACCCTCACTAACCTTCACGTCATTCTGCATCCTCACATTAACCAAATCTCCAGGTGTACCCACAAAACCTCCACATGCACCTGATATTCCGGCCAGAAAGGCTTTCTGATAAAACGGCAAAGGATGGTCTGGAACAGTACCATTACTATTTAACCAACAGCAACATTTCTACTAGCAATCACTACCTGAAGGGAACTGTTTCTTTAATGTCTCGTACATTCCAAATCGCGTGGTCGAATATGTAAGCTGACGTAGAAGTGATGCTGACAATCCATTGTAAAAAGAGAGGATGCCGTCAGTTCGGTAAAGTTTGACGGCCATTTGGGTGAGAGATATTTTTCCAACTTGCTGCGTTTGCAAATGCACCTAGAAAAAAATGTGTATTCATGAACAGTGAGTTCTAAAGTGGCTAACCTTTAGCAAGTCAAGAGGGTGCGTGCAGCAAGCCGCCCCAGCGGAAGCCAGTCCACCAAAGTACCATCGACCTATACGATTCTCCTTCGCTAGGGCCATCTAGGTGTTGATAATAGTGATGATCTTGCACAGTTAGTGAAGGCGAAACATAACAGTATAGGAATTTGAGGAAGTGTGACCCACTTGGAGAACTCGACTATTTACGAACAATACCTTTATTCCAGTCACACTGCATCGCCATTATTATTATGCAATATTAATATCTATCAAATCAATGCATATGAATAATTCATTAATGTAAACAATTCTTGAGGAGGTTCAAGAATGAGTGATGGAAGATAATCGTAGAGAGTGAATCCAAGAAGCGGAAGGAATAAAAATTGAGGAGTAAAAGAATTCAGAGGCAATAATCACCATGCACCCAAAAATAATACTCCAAACAAATCTAGCTTGATCCATAGCATAAACAAAAGAATGTATCTTCGAGAGACATTCATCCAAAACACCTGGGGAATAGTATTCCTTCGTAAGAAGTAGTCCAGTTCTCTTGAGATAATCCAACAAGATCTCATCATTTCTCGAAAACACTGGCATATACTCATACTGAAGTTCTCGTGTCCACCAGTTGACACTATAATTGAAACGTTCACATTACTCAGGAACTCCAGAAATAATGCAGAAGTAATTACTTCTCGCTGAAAGGGGTATAACGGTAGTGATAGAGCCGAGCACGAATAAATCGTGGTGCCTCCTCGAATGGTTGTGGCTTGCTCATGAGTCGCAACACTGGAATGGTAAATTCAGAAATTAAACTTCCAAGCAAAAACATATCGCCATTGTTCTTTGATTGTACAACCATCTTGGGAGAAATTTGAAAAAATATATCCAAAATTTCCGACAAATTCGAACACTTGGGTTGGTTGGGTATTCAGAATGGGGTTTAAAGCAGCGACCATGCTGACGTGGTTACCAGGGAGGATACTAACTAGAAGTGCTGTTAGAAATAATATGTGTAGCTTCTGATGCGTCTTTGGACACTAATTCCACATGTGCCTTTCGGCATCGGCACTATTCCCCTATTCTTTTTAACAACACTATCAAGATTTTATTTTTCGTCGAAACTGCCTACAGCGGTAATTCGATGCCCTGATTACGAATATGACATTCATTCATGATGCTGACGCCATTTGGCGCCAGTTTGCGCCACCTTGTCACTACGGCCGTTTTCACGAAATTCGGTATAAACTTGTATATAGGGGTTATTGGGACGGAAGTGGGGTAGTGACAAGTGGCGCGCCTACCACGCGACCGGTCCGGGATCAAATGCTGGGTTATGAGTCGCCCGGGCCAACCAAGCCTTCCATCCCTCCGGGGTCAGTTAATTGGTACCAGACTTGTCTGGGAGGATAAAAAAACACTGACTTGAACATCGGCTGGCCCTGCAAGTCATTGTATAGGACACATCGCATTCAAACGCCACTGCGAATGTACAAATGGAAGTATTAGGTCGGTCAAAAAGTATCCGCGGGGTGATTTCGAGAAGATTTATCGTTTCACCCTCCTTTTTAGGATAAGCAAAATCGTGATTTTCGATTGTTGCCACTTCATGTCATCAAACCTGGAATAGACACGCCAGGGCCCTCGTAATATGGCGACATTGTAAAAAACGAAAATGAAAGAAGCTTATCACTGATACTCAACCTTCAAGTGTGTATTAAGAGTTCGTCTTCTTGAAGGCACCCTGATACTCCCGCCTGGTGACGCGTGAGAAAGCAGGAAAAATACTGTCATACTACATCTCATCGATAAACCGTGCTTGGCATCCGTTGCAGTACGCCCGTGGAGGTGTTGCTGGACTGCTTCCTTGCAACAGTGAGAACAGTTTTTCAAACCGCGCAATAGTGTGGGGTAAGACTAATGCTTCGCTGCGCTTAACAATGAAAGGGTTACCAAAGTATTAATACGATACCCCAAGCTGCCCCTGGATCCGTTCCTCGCAAAACCCGCGAGCGCCTCCAATGAGGATTTTTCGTCGTTATTTTCGATGGCGTAACTCATTTTCGAAGTCCGAGAATTGCCCTACTTTCGACGACCGATACTGTTGTTATAAGGCTAGAACATTCAAACATAATAAAACACTATTATGATAGTCTGCTTCAAGTAAACAATAGCCCATGTCCTTCACCCACTGATAACGCTACCAATCGCGCATCCCGCAAAATACGCTCTGTAAATTCATTTCAAATGCTCAAAGCTCTTCTGCTATCTATATATACCCAGGTACTCTTTTCAGGAACTCACCGACGCAATTTCCCCGATCATCTCTAGCATGGTTCTCCAGGAGAGGAACAATCTTGCGTTGCATCGACTCAAGTCTAAATGCGCTTCCTACCGCTTGTCACCCTATAATAAACTTGGGTCTCGTTCCAGTACGGGCCATACACCTCTGCCCTCTACCCCCTCACGGCCCCCGCTCAGACTGGCCTTACCTTCGCCCTCCGGCGCACCGCAGTTCTTGAAATACAGACCCGTAACCAGGTGGGAAGCCAGTTCAGGGGGGTGAGGGGTGAGGGCAGCTATTAGACGTTGCATCACAATGCCCCCCCCCTTACTGGATGAGACCCAATAAATTACAGATCTATAGGAAGGGAAATTCTCAGCGTTTGTCTGACTGAAAGCAATCTGCTGGACATAGCAATTTTTATTTCGAACAAAAAGACTGTGTTTCAGCAAAGTTGTGGTGCTTCAAAATTAGGGGGTCAAAACGGCGGATACTTTTTGAGATGCGTGCCGCATCCCAAAAAGGGATTGATCAACGGCAAATGCTTTATCCTTTTTTATAGAGGTTATTTAGTGTACTGATTACTTATGTCATTTATTTTTGACGCTTGCGCCATTTGGGGCCCATTTTCTGCTGTCTGCGCCCTCGCACTGGGTTGATCACATCAGGACTAAGCCCCTAGGGAAAGGAGGGCTCTGAGGTGAGTGAGCCACTCACCCCGATATTTCATACTTCAACCTTGGTCACATGCTGCGTGGTCTTGGAGTCGTCTTTCTCCAATAAGCTTGGTCTCAAGCACAATGTATAAGTGAAAGAGTCCAGGAGAGCAGAAAATACAATACCGCTCACAGAATGTGAAAAAATGACGCCGATTGAAAAATTAATCCATCACAGACCGTCGCACCGCCATAACTTCGGTAAAAATGAAGGAATCGAAAAGATTTAAACACAGTGGGATAGTTCTGTCTACGACGAGTTAGAGGATGCATCATATGCCCAAATTTGCTAACTAGGTCACCAGCTTCACCTTATAAGCTGGGTTGAAATCCACTTTAACCTCAAGTAGGACACCAGTCGGTGAGTTTTCATGTCTATGTGCATAGCAGTTCATCGGATATGCGCACCTCTTTCTCAATGTATTTTTATCAAGGTTTCACAAAGAGAGATTTATTAAACTTTATCCCGTGAAGGAATTCAAAAAGCAATTCACACTTGATTACGAGGTTGCCCACCTAATCTCTCCATGCCTAGCGCCTGGCAAGGAATTATCAGTCGGCAGCCCATATGGGCTGCCATCGTCCAGGAGCGCATCGGCTGTTGGCCAGCCACATTAAGCGGCCATCGCGCGAAATGTGTTTAAGTGTGATCAACCTTTCAATCAAGAAGAAGCCAACGCTAATCAGAGTCGCAGAGACGGTAACGCGGAATGAGAGAGCTGTTGTGCCCTCGCTCCAATGTTCTGGCTAAATCCTTTGGTGTAAATGAACTCGCGGAAACATTCAAGCAGTACTGCGTAAACAAATTCATGAGGCACGAAAGGGCATACTCGGGAGCGGTTGTAATATTCATCATCAAGACCGGAAACAACGAGCTGACGGTTGCTGAAACGCAAGGTGGTCGCTACGTCAGCTGAACATGTTGCGGGAATATTTCGGAGTTATTTTACAAAAATTCTCTAGCAATTGAATGTGGTTCTGCCAAGGACTTATGGTCCAAACCTAATTTTGATGGTACCCTTCCCAACTTTGAAGTTTGTTTCAGTCCCCTCCCCTACTCAACAAGACTTCCACTGTGATCAACATCCTTTCGATTGATCTTGGGAAACGCATTTTTGCTGACACATTGAGGCGCAAGTGTTGCTTTGGAAACTGACCTTACACATTATGCTTCGACATCAGTGGAATTTGACGGAGTGAACATGTTTATGCTATAAGGTGAGAACAGTCGTTTGTAATAATTGTGCTAAATGCTCCATCAATTAATTGATTGTCTTGTCTGTATATTTATCAGAAGTCTGAAACAAGACAGCTTCGGTATTGTGACACCCAACCTCATCCACATATAGAAGACGAGTGCTGTACTAATTAATGTGATTAAAAATAATTCTTTCAACTCTTTTTTAGTGTAGTTAGCAGAACTTGAAGGTACTCTTTCCACTTATTTCTTCGCCTCAAATCTCATAATTTATTTTTTGTCGTTAACTTGCTCAGGAGCGAGTAATCGATGCCCTGATTACGAATTACTGTGACATTTCAATCTTGATGCTGGCTGTCATTTCGCGCCAGCTGGCGGCCACCTTTGTCACGGCGGCTCGTTTTCAAGAAATTTCGGTGTAAGCTTGTATCATAGGGGGTCATTGCTGTCCTACTTTACGGATATCAACATTGGTTTTTGGAATTGGCGCTAGTCTACGCGTCGTAACCATTATTTGTCGTTCTGATCGAAATCTTACTGTTATATATTCAGATAATCTTTACGCATTGGACATTGCAGAAATTATTTTTTGACATTCATGTTTTCGTCCATTTATAAACAAAATCTGCGGTTATTTGGTCAGGCGGCGGCGCCCACAAAATGGCGTTCGTCCCACGCGACCGAAGAGTGGAAAAGGGGCGCCGTCGTGAATGTGCTAACCATTCCGTGACTGACAATCACAATGCTCTACTTGGCGCTTCTTAAAGGGATCTAGATGGAGTACCGATCAATTGTCAGAGTACTTTCGAAGGGAAAAGATACAGCAGTGGCATCTCCAAAAAGTCGAAAATATATAGTTTGGATCCAACATGCCTTGAGCCCGAGTCAGCTCTGAACACGCTCTGACTTCGTTATGTTCAGGTCGACTTACTATGGATTCTTCGATTGGCCATCCATCACATTTGCCAAAGTTGAGGAGACGGTACAGTGTGCTAACAAGTAAACAAGCAGCGACAGTCCAGCTCACAAGCTGTAGAAGTTCTTACTCTGAAGTTCAACCTCATCCAAGTAAGGCCTTCCCGGATTTTTAGAGGAATAGGAGAGGAGCTGAGCTCTGGAGACTCTCACTTGTAGATGTCGCAGTCAACGCGGAATTCAACTGTCACTGCTCGATGTAACGCTTTCAGTGCGAAAGAAAAGCAAGATAATGTTTGCCTTTTTTATGACACCTTTGAACCACCTCTTGCTAAAAAAAAAGGAAAATTTTAGGATTTTCGGACGAAGAGTTCTTGCGTATCCGCCTCATAGACCTGACCTCGTGCCAAAGGATGTCCACCTGCTTCCCTCTCCAGACCACCGCTTAGAGAAGAAATTTTGTCCTAACCATTGTGATGTCAAAATCGACATCTGATCTTTCTTCGATTAGCATTCAACGGAGTTCTACAAGAGAGGCATCGGACAGCTTTTAGTGCGCTGGCAATAGGTTCAAAATATTGATGGTATGTACTATGCTGGATGAATGGAACAAAAAAGAAACGAAATTTAAAAACCAAAATTCAGCCAATTTGTTGCAAGACTTATGAACCAACCTAATAGTTTCGGTGTATGGGCGTGGACTGTCATGAGTAATGTCAGCCGCACTTGCAAAAGGGGGAGGCGTACTT